CTGGGCTGTCCACCACATTGAGCACAGCCCGGCAGATTTTCTTTTCCTTTTTTTTTTTGTTTTTTTGTTGGTTTGTTTTTGTCCTTTTTGAGACCGGCCGCACCGCGCTCAGCCAGTGAGCGCTGTGAGCGCACCGGTCATCCCCATATAGGATCCGAACCCACGGCGGGAGCGCTGCTCCCAGCGCCGCACTCTCCCGAGTGCGCCACGGGCTCGGCCCTTAACTGGCTTATTTTTAAGTGAAAATCTTACCTATGAACTTGGCAGTTCATATGTGTTTCTAGAAAAGAGGAGTGTTCTTGTTTTCTTCCCTTTGTGATATTAACTTTTAAGCTGTTTGGTCCTCATGGAACCAAAGGGAACTTAGTAAATTGATGTAGCAGAATGGCTCGATAAGTGGACCACCGCTTTTTTATGGGCATTGGTGGCAAAAGTAGAGTGGTTTCCTTTTTACTCACTAACCTGTGATTATTCTAGATCCTGGCATGAAGGAATGTAGTCTCAGGTCTTATATAATCTCAGAAAGCCTAGATAATTGGGAGGGAGCAGAGATGATGTATAGAACAAGCAGGACAGGCTTAAGAATGGATGCTACTAGTGACCGCACTGCTGAAATGAAATATTGGAGCAGGTCTGGGTTGATGGATTGATAGTATAAGATTGGCTAACGTCTGGGTTGAAGTATCAGGCTACCCAAGAATTTGTGGTGCAAGGAAAATTGAAGTTTGATATTAGTGTTTTATTTCATATGTCTCTGTGGCATTTGAGGGAGATACCTAAAATTCTGCACAAGAAGGAGATGCCATTGTATTAACATTTTTTAAATAAAATAACTTTATTTCTAATATAAATTAAATAATAAGTATAAAGTTCTAGGTGCAGGTATTATACTAAAATCTAGGAGCCCAAGATGGGGAAGATGTTCTTCAGGGCCTCAAGGAATATATATTTTGGTAGTGGGGTAGATTTTTATATAGACAAGTACAATAACACATGGCCCTTTTTTGGCTGTCGGGGTGGTGTTACCTTAATATTGCCGTTGCAGAATTCTTTTGGGAACTTCTCAAAGCAGTGGATATGTAACAAATCTTCCCAGTTTGGGTGGGGTCCTTTCAGTACTAATGCAGACATGGATTGCTGTGCTGTGAATATTAGGTCAACAGCACAGACTGAGTGCCTCCTATGTGGGAGGAACTGGGCTGGATTCTGGGACACACCGAGCTGGTAACACACAGAGTCTGCCCTTACTGAGCATAGAACCCAAGAGGGGAGACAGACACACACTCACTGTAGTGTGTCAGAGCAGTAAGTGCTGAAGGGACACATGAGGTACAGCGACAGTATAGAGTGGAGAGTGGTCGGTGTGGGACGTGGGGAGGGAAGGCAGGGTCAGTAGGTACATAGGGTTGAGAGAACTGCATAGGTAGAAGAGGTGATATTTGATGTCAGCCTGAAAGGATGATTAAGATTTTTCAAAGGGAAGCACATCAGAGGCACAGGCAACGTTAAGAAAATGGTAAATGTGGCCAGAAATTAGGAAGCATAGTGTTGCTGAAGGTGGGGCTCAGGAAGCATTTGGGGACCCTATTGTGAAGGGATTTGGGCACTGTTCAAAAGGAGTAGAGGAGTGTTTTATGCTGGGTAATGACAAGATACCTGTTTTAGAAAGAGAAGACCAATTTGGAGATGGTTAAAATATTCCAAATAAGGGATGAAAGGGATTTGGGCACTGTTCAAAAGGAGTAGAGGAGTGTTTTATGCTGGGTAATGACAAGATATCTGTTTTAGAAAGAGAAGACCAATTTGGAGATGGTTAAAATATTCCAAATAAGGGATGATAAGGCTCTGACGAAGCACAGAAGGAAGAAATGGGAGACTGTGTAAAAGTAGAGTTCAAATAGGAACAAGGGGTTGAAGGCATTGAAGATAACTGAGGATTCTGTCAAGGTCTACTGAGTAGGAGGAGATGCGGGGTAGGAAGTGATGAGTTTGCTATGGACGTTGTGAAACTGAAGACCCTACCTTTGCAAGGCCTTTAATATGAAGGTGACTAGCAAGAAGCTGGAGATATAGATCTTGATACAGGGAGAAGTCAGATGTTTTGAATTATTTGGAGATATAAATTATCTCATAAGAAGTAATTGAAACCTCGGCACTGAGTAGGTTACTGTGGAGGGTGAATTGGAAGAAGAAAAGGAGGCTGATCACAGAACCTTGAGGACTGCCACGATAAGGGCAATAAGAGGAAATGCGATAGTTTTAAGAATGAGGATGTAATTGACATAAATTTTAGCGTACATTAGAATTGTATGGATTTCTGGACCCTAGCCCAGAGTTTCTGATTCAGAGAATTTGCATTTCTAACAAGTTCCCGGGTAATGTTAATACTACTGGTCAAATACTCAAACTTTGAGAACCACTGGCTTGGAGTGTAGTTTGATAAGGGTAATCAGGGTTACAACATAAGAGAGGGAGGATAAGAGAATCCAGGATGAGACTGAAGGACTGTGAGAATAAATATAGGGGTGCCAGAGAATGAGGTTCCAGATGAAGACGAGGTAGATTCATTGGGTAGGAAGACTTGGGATAAGAGGAAGAGTTATATTCAGGGAGCAGAATTCCAGATTGGTTGATGTCTATAACATGACCTACAGCAATCCTACCAAAAGTCTAGGTATCTGTGGTGGATTAGTTCCAGGACCCCCCCCC